CTAAAAAAGGACTAAAAAAGACTTTCTTAACATAATTGTAACGATAGTGTTATATTTAAGGAAAATACCAATCATTACTTGATATCAAATATCCAAACACTGTTTAAATATCTCAGATTGTCCCATAAATGTATTCTGACAGTTGGCTCACTTGCACAGGAACCAACAATAGTCCACACATTTCATTTGGTTAGTAAGTTTCTTAAATCTCTAATATTTAGAGTCCTTTCTCTCCCCTGTCATTCCTTTGTTGAAGAAATGTAGTTGTTCACGCTGTAAAATTTCTCACATTTTGGATTTTGCTGTAGTGTCATTTCATATGTTCCTCCATCCCCTGTACTTCCGGTAAACTGGTAGTCAGATCTCGGTGTTTGATTCAATTCACATTTAATAGTTTGGAAAAGATACTTCACAGACAGTATACGGAGTCAAGTCCCCCGTGCTGACATCTACTTTTTTCCAGAAGACAAGGAGTCAAGCCCAGCTCACAAAACTAATGACAGACGTGGACAGGACCTTGGTCTTCTGACGCTAGGCCTTCGGCCTGTTTCTCTGCTGCAGGGCTGGAGCCTGGGCTTTTCTCCTGGAATGGAAGGATGGTTCGGGTGTCCTGTACTCTTCCTCCTCTTCTAACGCCCTTTGTGACAGAAGCCAGGAGGTGCAGTGGGGAAGTTCAAACCTTTCTTTTGGCACAGGCAATATTTTAATTTTAAACAGATGGTGGCAGGGAGGGGTCTCCCCCAGCCTGGGTGGGGCTCTGCACCTTCTGCTTTTGCCAGAAGACTAGAAGCTCGTGAGCCAGGACTCTGGCACAGAATGCCCTTCTTCCCTCTCTCTCCTTTCCAGTACTGAGAACCAGCTTAACTGAGTGAGCGCTGACAGGAACATTTCATCCGTTTGACTCGCTGTGCATGCTCGCCGTGCTGGATGCCTAGAGAAGCACGGACTTCCACCTGAGGGACCAGGAGAGAAGTGCCTCACGAAGGTGCATTTCAGAAGCGAGTGGGGAGTGGGGGTGGGTCCCCGCCCCCATTCCTGCCACACTGACATGCAAATGCCAGAACCAAGATCGAGGAACACAGAGAAACAAAACTATTCCTGTGACAAAGGAAGAAACCCGCTCCATACCAAAAGTTGGACTGGAGCAGGCAGGGAGGCAGGGGGGTGGGGGGAAGTGGCTCAATGCACAGTAACAGTTCGAGTTCACGTTTACCGAACACTTGGAACATGCCAGGCACTTTGTGTGCAGTACCTCATTTGATCCTCACAACCCCCTTGCAAGGCAGAAGGTCGGAGCTTTTATTACCGGAGTCCGAGGTGAGGAGGAACGGGAGACCACACAGATATTATTAGTGAAGGCAGAATTCAACCCCACATTTTTCTGACTTAGTTTCTGTGGCTTAACCATCAGGCTACGGGGTCAGCTACATTAAACTAGCTGTTTGAGAGGGGGTTGTGATTTAGAAGGGGCCGTTAGCAGGGTTTAGGAGTGAGTGGCTCAGGCAATGCACGCGGGAGTCCCCAAACCTTTGGCACCCAGACACCTTACATTTTAACACTGGCACCCGGAATCCTGAAAGGAAATTTCACAGAAGGAGGGATGGAAAGTCCCACAAGGAGCTGACTGTGGAGAAGCAATAGTTAAGCACTCTCCCTCGTCAAGTTTAAGGCTCCTAGCTGGGAAGGATTATCAGGGTCACATCTGGCACACACAAAGCCTTGGTGTGAATTCGAAAGTGACACCTCCTGTGGGTGGATAAATTGCATAAGCCGGCCCCTCCGGGAGGCCCCTCCTGCACGGGCGACATCTGCAGCAGGGCTTAGTGCCCGGGCCCGCGGTGGGTCTGGTTTCAGCCACGTTCACCTGGCCACGCCGGAGAGCCGGGGGGGGGGGCCGGAGAGGCGGGCTGGTCTCCCCACCCAGCACGCGGTACACTTATCAGGCCCAAGTCACACTTGCTGAGCTGTTAACCATCTTCTGGTGGTTGTTTCACGTGACTGTGGTCTAAAGTCAGCTCAGAAGAGGGCAGAACCCAATTACTAGATTACTCAAAGTGCTGGGTGGGGTTTTTTTTTCATCTTTTTTTTTCCCACCACATTGAAGGCTGTGGCAGTCACAT